TGTTTTGCTAAATTAAGCATAATTCTGAACAAAATAATTATTTTATTAATGTGATCATGACTATACTTTCATCTTTTTATATTTTAGAGGCAATACAGATTTATGATGAAATCAGAAAAATATCTATTATAATTTGTGATACAGAAAGATGCTATTTCTTCCTCAAGCTTCTGAATTGTGTGAATTGTGTTTCTTTTTCAGATGATATAGAAAAACGCCACAATGATACAGGTCTATATGTAATTGTGCCAATAATTATTTCCTCTTCAACCTTGTTGCTTGGAACATTGTTAATGTCACATCAAAGGTACTGTAGTCGTCGTTAAGAATCTTCAGCATATTTAAACCTTGATTTAAAATACAAATCAGAAACATTATTCTAAATAATTTTCTTGTACAATTTAAGATGGCATGAAAATAAAAAGACTGTTTTCAGAAAGCCAAATTCCATTTTGCTAGCACAGCATAAACCTCATGGGAGAAATTAGTTTTTCTGTGTGTATGTGTGTATCAGGTTGGTGCAAAAATAATTGCTGTTTACCTATGCACAATTACTTATGCACCAACCTAATACATTCAGGAAATAACCAGCCTATTACAGGAAATCCTAGGCAGTATGTTCTTGGAGGTGGCAAAAATGGCTTTCAGAGTTGTGCAGTATGGGTTAAGGACAGTTAGTGGTGAAAATTTTCCTGGAACAGTCAGTTTAGTTATGATCAGTACGCATTCTGCTTTTTGAAAATCAGCACTACATGGCTCCAGCCTGCCTGGTTTGGCAAATGGCCTTGACTTTCTTGCAGTTCTGTGGGTGCCATCTTACTCTGTGCTGAGGGGTCCGGACCAGTGAGTTTATTTCACAGATAATGAATCTCTAAAGACATTTTTGTCTTCTAGAAAAAAGGGGGAGAGTAGATTTTGAAATCTGAATGTATCTTTCAGTCAAGTGAGCTGATGGGGCCATATCAAGTAGAATTGTTTCTGAAACTCACTTGACCATTTTTAATATTTTATTTTCTCTGAGAAAAACCTATGCACAGTGCCTGGCACACAGCTTTCAATAAGTGTTGGCTATTTTTATTATTACAATGATTATTAACTTTGGTCTAGACAGTTTGTTGGTGGAAATCTTCATGTGATAGCATGTGAAAATGAATCTGACCCTACTGAGGCATTAATTTCTAGTTTATACATTTGTTAACTGTTAAGATTTTCAATATGAGTGTTTTTCTCTAATTCTAATGCCATATTTATCCTTTGTAGAATGAAAAAGCTGTTTTGGGAAGATGTTCCAAACCCCAAGAATTGTTCCTGGGCACAAGGACTTAATTTTCAAAAGGTCCCTTTTTCAATTTTCTTAACCCAAAATATAGAAGATTGCATTTTACATGCCATATGCCTTCTAGAGCTTTAAACATTTTTAAGGTTTAAAAGTTCTTATTTTATTTAATTCATTTTAATATAAGCCTGTTTAATCTACTGTATATTTTCAAGAGTAGCAGGATTCAAGGATTTGAAATCAAGGGAAACAAAACTCAATAGGTAGTTTATCATATGAAAGTTAATAATATGCATATCCTTCTGTGTCACAATAAATAATAAAGCAAGTATTAGAATGTTAGAATATTACCTGTCAAATCTGATGGAGAATGGATATTTGGATACTTTTTTCTTTATAAATTGATTGTCCTTAGGCTGGAATCAATATTTTTAATACCTATAGTTATCTCCATGATTATTTAAATGAATTAAAAAACTATATAAATAATTCTATCCTCAAAGACTGAAATATGAAAAATGCAGTTTTATCATAATCAAACTTACACTTATGCAAATACTTCCTTTCAAGCTAAAGTACTTAATGAAATAATTAGTCAACCATAAAACATAATGTGTACCTATGTCTATAGTAGAATTCTTCAGAAAGCTCTAGAAGTTAGCAAATTTTTTATTAACTCTCAAAATTTGAAGTAAGTTTTTTTTTACCCATAAAACTGGGAAAATAGGGATTTAGTTTTCATGTCAAAATATCTACATGATGGTTTAAACAATAATCATATGGAGGTTATTATGCAGTCTCAATATCTTAACAACTTTTGTATATAGCATACAACAGTGTTTAGTCACCATGTTGTACATTATATCCCTAGTACTTATTTATCTTATAAGTGGAAGTTTGTGCCTTTTGACCAACTTCATTCAATCCCCCTCCCCCACCCACCACAAATCTGATCTTTTTTCTATGAGTTTGGTGTTTTTAAGATTCCACACGTAAGTCAGATCATACAGTATTTGTCTTTGTCTAACTTGCCTCACTTAACATAATGCCCTCAAAGTCCATCCACGTTGTTCACAAATGGCAGGATTGCCTTCTTTTTATGACTGAAGAATATTCCATTGTATATATGTATACTTGTATTTCACAATTTCTTTATCCATTAGTGTGCTGATGGACACTTAGCTTGTTTCCATGTCTTGACTATTGTCAGTAATGCTGGGAAAGCCACATTGGAGCTAAGGTGTGGAAGATGAACAGTCATTAGCTAGATTTTTGTGGTAGAGCCCAGGCAAGGCCTCCTGAGAATAAATACAAAGCCATGTGGCAGGAAGGACCTTAGCACACTCACAAACTGAACCTGGGGAGAATAGAAGACAGAGAGTAAGGAGGATTTATTTATTCTTAAATGTGAGGGTTTTTGCCTTTTAACCTGAGAGTATTTTGGTAAAAAATATCTAAATATCTATTTAAATAAAAAAAATGTAAAGCTTCACTATCTAAGTACATATTCATGCAGGGAATAACCATCTGACTGTCTTTTTAAAGGAAGCTAAACACTCCCTCTTCGACATGGTAAGCTCTGAAATTTCCCCTATGAACCACCATGAAAATGGTTTCCCAGTGTTTACCAGGACAGGGCAATGATCAGGTCCACCTCAGCAGAATGCAGTTTGAACCTGCACCAAATGATCTTGCCCTTTTCCAGAAAATGCCTGACACAAAGGAACCAGTTGTAGGTTGAGCCAGTGAATGCTTGTTCTCTATGTGCTATGCCACTGTCTCACATACGCCCCCTGAAGATGAGCATAGTGCCACAGCAGGTCATCCGACAGACATTGTGTACAAGCAGACTAAAATATCACCATTTCCCCCTAGGTTCTGGGAAACTAAAGAAGTGGGAAGACTTTTTAAGATACCTCGCATGGGTGTGTGAATGCCCTTATTTGTAAGACTCATATTTTAAACCATAGTGAATATTTGACTTTATATAATCTTACAAAGATATCCTTTAAGCACAATCAGCCCTTAAGATGCTTAGTTTGGTACTAGGGCTTAACAGGTACACAAATAACATGATTGGGAATAAATCAGTTTTTGGAATATAACAGGAATATTTGAAGAATAGAAAAGAATATAATTTCAAAGATCTTACTAATGATAAAAGTCTTCTAAAATTCAGTATCTTTTTTTTTGCATCTCACTGCTTTAATCTCCTAAATAAAATTTACTTTTTTAGGGAAAAAGGATATAGTACAAATCATGTTATATAAATAAAGAGTACAAGGAAAATTTGCTAACTGCTCTATGCTTTCATATTCATTTTATTATATTTAATTCTGTCATAGGCCTAATAGCCTTATATTTTTTGATGACAGAACTGAGGCTCAGATTGGTCCATAGCTTGTCTTGATTATCCAGCTTGTACATGTAAAGATCTTGGTTCAAACCTGGGGCCATCAGGCTCAAACTGATACTCTTGCCATCAATTCCATATTAACAATTCATTGCTTAATATACTTAGTGCTGCTAAATTGTACACTTAAATATAATTGAAATGGGAGATTTTATGTTATATGAGTATATATTTTAATGCAATAAAAACAAAACAACAACAACAAAAAAAACGGGCAATGGATCTGAATAGACATTTCTCCAAATGGCCAATATGCAAATGAAACTATGCTCAACATCATTAGCCATGAGGTGAAACAGATAAAAAACATAAGATACCACTTATCATTAGCTAGGGAGACTATAATAAAAACACAGATATAAGTGTTGGTGGAGAAATTGGAGCTTTCATACACTGCCTGTGGGAATGTAAAGTGATGTAGCCCTTTTGGAGAATAGTCTAGCAGTTCAATAGTTAAATGTTGAATTACCATATGACCCAACATTCCACTTCTACATATATATCCAATAGAAATGAAATCATATGTCCACACAGGAACTTGTACATGAATGTTCATAATAGTCAAAATGTGGAAACAACCCACATGTCCCTCAACTGATGAATGATAGGCAAATTGTGGTATATACAATTCTAAAACCAAAGGAAACAAACAAACAAACACAAACAGTTCAGTGATGGGTCTATCTAGGGAGGTTCTTTTTAATTTACTTGGTCATTTAAAGACAATTTCAATTCTATGCCTTCTGTCAATTCTAAGAAATTATGTTATTTCTTTGATAATTTCTTCTCCTCTTGTTTCTTTGGTCTCTCTTCTAAAACTCTAGATTCATTGGCTTTTGGACCCTCTGCATAGATCCTCTATATTTCATTATCTCATCTCTGTTCTTTGTCTTTGTTTTACACGTTGAGACCTTGCCATAATCTATTCTTTCTGTGCTTCTGTTGAACTTTTGTTTGCTATTGTATTTGTAAGTTTCCAAGTATTCTTTTTCAGAGTTTTCTGTTCTGGTTTTTTTGTACATGCAATGTTTTCTTAAATCTTACTAGAAATACCAATTAGAGGATCATTGTTTGTTTGTTTTAAAAATTCTCTTTTCTTCTATTTTTTGAATTCTCCATTTCTGCTAGGATCACGTTCTCCTCTTGTTTATCTTGGCCTTTCTTTTTCTTTATCTCTGACTTTCCCCCAATATCTGGTAGTAATCCTTTGTTTTCCTTTCATGTTTAAGAATGAAATAGTAGACAAGCTGACTGGGAGCACAATACATATAGGCAGGGATTGTTGTCCTGGGTGGACAGACGGGGCTCTGGCTGGATGAGGAAAGATGTACTCACCGACACTAATATCCCATGGCTGGTTGGTTCCTCCCCAGATGGCTCTTTAGTTGATTTTAAAAACAAAGCCTCAATTTGGGTGTGGAAGGTAGCTTGACTATGAAGGCTCTTCCATATGCAGCCGAGGAGTAGAAGAGCCCCATTCTATATGCAGAGTTTCTAGCTCTCAGCCTCAACTCTCATTTCTTCCTGTATTTTTACTTGCTATCTCTTCATCCACCATCTCTACTATATTTCAACCTGGCAAACTGGCTTTGTCCTTAGGTACAGCCAACTCTGTAGACATCCTGGTCTGCAGCTTTCATTCTGGTTTGCTCATCTGAGGTCTACACTCATCCAGTTTTCCATTTTATTTATTTATTTATTTATTTATTTNGTGGGTATATAGAATTTAGGCTTTGAAGAGATTTATCTCTAATGGAATAATATTTATGTATTAATACATTTGTAAAAAATGATAGATCACTGATAGATTCATTTTGAACTTTTCTATGGAGATGGTCATCCTCCCTTAATCTAGACTCCTTGATATTGCAAGGAGATTTCTGGTCCCTACCCGTATCTTCTTTGTATAGAATTTTCCAAGACTTTAGTCTCCCAGCTGCCTTGAATGGAGAAACTAAGTAAGCTAAATTCCTATGTAAAGGGAATATTGCTGGCTTTGGGGATATGGGAGAGGAGGTTAAGCATATTGTCCTTGACAAGTAAATAAGACAGCTCATACACCCTGAACTTGAATCAAGTGGCTATCACTGGAACATGCCTTAAAAAAATTGCTGTATTCTATCACTGGGTTAGATTTTTAAAAATTGTTTGTAAAATTATTGTCATTACTAGGAGAATTTGGAATGCTTAAGTTGTTTTTGAAACTCCCTTAATCATCAGTGTCAATCTATAAATAAATAATTTCTATGTTTGGGAATATAGGAGAGACACATAAACGTTTTTACATAGATTTCACTATTAATTCAGTAGGAATGACTCTTTAATCTGTTTTTATCCTCAGATCATTTTATCCCCATTGAGAAGTATCAGTTCAGTCTTTACCCAATATTTGTGGAAGGAGTGGGGAAACCGAAGATAATTAATAGTTTTACCCAAGGTAAAAAATTTAACTTTTAGTTTCCTTTTATACAGATGTGTGGTTTCCTCCGTAGCAGTAATGTTACCATCTGATTATTCTCCTTCTGATGGAATCATGGAAGAGTCCAGAGTCTTATGTAGCAGATGTGTCATGGGGTGCATGCGGGAAGGATACGTGGTTCCATGGTGGTAGTAAAAAGGAGAATAACCAGTCATGGTATTGAATTCT